CACGCCGCAGATACACGTATCGCTAGGCGGCATTTTGCAATCTTTGCAATTTTGTGTTCAGATATGAGGACAGATCTGCAAAGACTAGTGATGCATAGTCAAGGTGAGGAATAATTAGAGAGTTTATGAGTCTAAGTTTAATGTGGGCTGGAAGAAAAGCACCGCGAAATTTCAGTCTATATAGGACATTGTGAACTTTAGATGAAATGGTGTTGATGTGGCGATTCCATGTTAGGTCGGATGAAATTATAACTCCCAGATCTTTAACTTCATGTGCGTAAGATATTACATCGGACCCAACGATGATTTGCGGTATGCTGAAATCCTTGATGGTGGCAAGGTTTTGAGATGATCCCAGGATGATAGCTTGAGTTTTGCGAGTGTTCAAAGTGAGACCGTAGTCGTGGGTCCATTTTACTAGCTCGCTAATATCGCTATTTATATTCTGTATCGCTTTACTTAAGTGACTAATTGAAGTTGTCAAATACATTTGTGTATCATCCGCAAAAATTATTGCTGTGTCGCGGCAATAACTGAGTCGAGAAAATAAGGTGTTAATTACTATAATGAATAATATTGGCCCAAGGCTTGTGCCTTGGGGTACACCAGATGTCGTGTACTCGATATCGGATGTTGAGCCATCTAGGCCGATTATTGTATGCGATCTATTTGTCAAAAACGAGTGGAGCCATCTGAGTGATCGCTCATCAAAACCAATCTCTCGCAAGCAGGTCAAGATTACGGTGTGGTTGAGAGAATCAAAGGCTTTCGAAAAGTCGAAGAGGATCAAAACTGTAACTTCCCCTCGATCAATGCCCGAACGTATATCATCCGTGAGTTGTAGTAGCGCAGTTTGTGTACTGTGGAATCTGCGGAATTCACATTGCTTTGGATGCAATAGACGATTCGCTTCCAAATATGTGATGATTTGTTGCGTTACTAGAGAATCGATGACCTTAGATAGGTGGGGGGGATTTGAGATTGTTCGAGTATCAGATGGATTTGTGGATTAGGAATTTTATTAAGAGGAATGATGTAGGAAGACTTCCAAATGGACGGGAAAATACCGGAAACGAGTGAGTTATTGAAGATTACGGTTAGATATGGAGCTAGAGGTGAAAATATGGGTCTAATGTATGACAAAGGTGTATGATCAGGGCTGAGCCCACGTGATTTCTGTGAAACTGTGTGTAGGCTATGTAGAACTTGGTGGCAGTTAATTTCAGAAAAAGTGAATGGTGGATGGGTGGTTGGTAAAGGTCGACTAGTGATGCTGTTGAGCGTTGTTAAATCACATGGTGGGTGAGATGAAGAAATTTGAGCAAAATGACGGTTTAATGTAGAAGATGAGAAAAATGGCAGGGCAGACTGAGTAGACGCGTTTGCAAGCCCAAGTCTCCGTAGGCTGGACCAGAGTCTATTAGGACTACTTTGGCGATGTATCAAGTCAGCTAAGTATCTATTTTTGGCTGCTTTTAGTGAATTTTTTATTTCACGCCGCATGTTTTTATATTGCTCTAATAGAAGCGAGTTTCTATTTCGTCTCGCACGCAGATATAATTCATCGCGCTCTTTAATCCTAATGCGTATATCTCGCGTTAGCCATGGAATAGAACGATGTGTAATATTTTTGGTGACGTATGGTGCATGATGATCGAGGACTTCGGTAATACATTCATATAAAGTATTGAGATTACTTACAGGATTACGGTCGTCAGAATTTGGTATACAGCGGTTATAATTGGCTCTCAAAAAGTTTGGTAACTTAAGTTGAAGTAGATCTAGTAGATCACTTTCTATGAGTGAGTTGTCACATTGAGTGAAATTGCGGTAAGTAACAGTTCGAGGGATATGATTTAATTTGGAAAACTTATACCAAATAGTGATCAAAAGGTGGCCAGCCGCAAAGGGAGTGGGTGATTTTGAAAAGCGTTTAATCTTGTCGCTAGAATCCACTATCATGACATCAAGTTGAGAAAAAGAAAATCCGGAATAATGAGTCGGTCCGAACGGGACGGAAAAAAGAGAATAATCAGATATGAAATCTTTTAGATATTTTGCATCAAATGTATTTTCCAATAGATTGCAATTGAGGTCGCCTGTTACTATTACATTTTTATATAGTGAGACATAGGTATTATACTTAACTATGAATTCCGCGAGAAGTTGGCCTTCGGGGCGTCGATAAATGACAATAAATAACAGATTGCTTATTATAGATTTAATTTCTAAAATTAAGTATTCTGGGGTATTAAGACTAACATTTGTAGAGCATTCTAAAATAGAATAAGATAAAGTGCTATGGAGGTAGCAAGCAACGCCTCCGCCTTGCATATATCGCGTCTGCCCGTCCGCAAAAAGTGTACGATCATTACGAACCATATTATAATTTTTGACCGCGACACATGACGAGTCGATGAGGGGTGTCAACCAAGTTTCTGTAACTGCTAGAATGTGAGTCGAGAAATCAGATAATTCATTCTCTACGTCATGAAGATGGGCACGCAGCGAATTGACATTAATACATGACACTTTTAACAATGTAAGTTCGGCGGACGTAAACACATTTTTACTTTTAGATAGGGCAGGTAAATTATTCGGTAATTGTCACACGATCTTATTAAGGTCTAGCTCAGAGGCAATCAGTATCTCGGGAATGCCTCCGTCTTTACGGACAAAAACATTACCGTTTCTTGCCCAGACATGCCTATAACCTGCGTTTTTGGCTGCTATTTTCGCTTTTTTTAACAATTTATAAGTAGGAGAGGGCAAAAACTCATTTACATAGATAATTTTGTCTGCGCTACGCTCGTCTTTTAGTTCCGGAAATAGTTCATGGACCGTTATTTTCCCCAACTTCCGTTTCGCGTCGACAATATAGTTACGAGTTTCAACCGATTTAAAGTGTACTTTGATTGCATAATATTGCGCGGTAAAGGCTTGGTTGACGGCAGCAGAATAGGAAGCAGACGGGGGTTTAAAGTCTACTTTTTGGATGCTTAAAACATCATTATATAGGGCTGGTAACTGTAATAGATTTAGCACACGTAAAATGACGTCATTGTGCAGCAGTGAGCAACTATATGGGATGCCATTTACGATTAAATCAGAGGTAGGTCGGGCGAGAGCATTAGAATATTTCAGATATGCAACCTCAGTTTTAAGTTCGTTACATATGGCAGTATTTTGCTGTACGGTTGCTGAGAGCATGGCCAAGTCTTGTCGCATTGTTGTGATGTCGTTTCGAACAACCGCAAAATCGGCTTTTAAATCATTAATAGCAGCGAGAACAAGCGAAAGCGGCTCGCTCTGGGTATCCATCGTCGATGGCATGATGACGGGTATGGAAGGCACGACTGGTGGAACGAAACTTGTCGAAGATAGACGAGACGGAGCCATCACCGAGTGACGACTAGAAGCAGCGGTCGTTGGAGAGGAGGAGGCAAGACTCACCGGTGGGCATATACACGAAGTCGCGACGCTCGCGGCGGGGAAGCACGAGGGAAGGAGGTACGATAGAGATCGCACGCAACACACCGTCTCCGACTTATTTCTAATATATTCGCGGGCGCATGACGGATGAAAGGCCTTATTACATAAAGTGCAGACAATACAATCCGCAACTGTTTTATGGCACTTCGCGCAGATGACGGTAGCAGACTTTGGGTTTTGAGAATTGCTGCGACTTCTCGGTTTCGGCATAAGTTTAAGATACCTTGATTACAAATTATGATGACAGGTCCGAGTGGCAGCTGGCGGTAGACATTAGTCCTCGCGTGACTTCGGTGAGCGTGCGCAGATAGTGCGTGATGAAGGACTGCTGACACGTGTTCAAAGGAAAACTCCAGAAAAATGATTGCAAAATTCCAAAGAGGCGCACCGTGGACTGGAGATCAATAAATACCAAGTTTTTGCGCAGGTATGTTGGTCCACGATCTGTGCACCTACTAGTATGGATTCTCGTTCCAAAAAGTAAATATAGGGTGAGAAATCAGTGGTAAATTGAGGAGAGAAATTTACTACGTGTGGCGCGTCTACTCACCAGTTGCAGAGAGAGAGAGAGAG